GTCCCGTGCATTTCCCTCTCTTCCCCCCCCCCCCCCCGCCCCCAGGCTCCCATTCCCTGAGGTATTTCTCCACTGGCATGTCCCGGCCCGGCCGCGGGGAGCCCCGGTACGTTGAAGTCGCCTACGTGGACGACACGCAGTTCGGGCGGTTCGACAGCGACTCTCCGGGTCCGAGGATGGAGCCGCGGGTGCCCTGGGCAGAGCAGGAGGGGCCCGAGTACTGGAAAAAGGAGACTCAGAAGGTGCTGGAATCTGCACAGGCTTTAAGAGCGAACCTGGCCAACTTGCGCCACTACCACAACCAGAGCGAGGAGGGTGAGCGCGGCGACCTGGGTAGGTTGTGACCCCCACCCCTTGGAGGGCCGGGTAACCCCAGACTCCAGTCCAAGTGACACCCGGAAGCTGGTGAACCCTTCCCGACTCTCAGCCGGTGAAGAGCCCTGGGTCTTTATTTCTACACTTTCACTTTCAGTTTAGGTTTATTCCAGCCAAGAGGTCGGGTGTGCGCAGGGTGGTCACAGAGCTGACGCGGGGCGGGACAGGGTCTCACACCCTCCAGCAGATGTCTGGCTGCGACGTGGGGCCCGACGGGCGCCTCCTCCGCGGGTACTGGCAGTTCGCTTATGACGGGGCGGACTATATCGCCCTGAATGAGGACCTGCGCTCCTAGACCGCGGCGGACACTGCGGCTCAGATCACCCGGCACAAGTTGGAGGCTGATGCAGGGCAGTGCAGGGACTACCTGCAAGTCACTTGCGTGGACTGGCTGCGCAGATACCTGGAGCACGGGAGGGAGACGCTGCAGCGTCCAGGTGAGAGGGGCCGGCAAGGCCTTCAGGGCTTCAGGACTCTCTTCGCTGACACCCCAGGGTGAGAATGGGTTAGTGGTCAGAACACTGATCTCTTTCTGGTCAGAGAGGGAGGATTCTGATGGGTTTCCTGTTCTGTACTAGGGGGAAATTCCCCCACAGGGCCCTACCTTTTCTGAAGAACAGGTAGGAAATCCAGTCTCTGGGATGGAAGGCAGACCATCCCTGCTATCAGCCTTCACAGGATCCTTCTGACCTCGCAGCCACTTTCTTGTTTTTCGTTAGATTAACATTTTTCAGATCTGACTCTTGTTTTTTTTCGACACCTGGGTCAGGAGCATAAGTCTGTGTTCTCCACTTAGAGACCTGCATCTTTCTACCCTAAGCTCTTACCCTAATTCTAAAATATTCTAAAGTACAGATTATCCCAGGCTCCCAAGATTGTGCTAGTTTGTGGGTTTTGTGCTTCCTCTTCCAAACCCATTGCCCTGTCCAATGTGAGGATGGTCACATGAGGCTGGAAAAGTGTGAATATTCTCATCCTTCTCTTCAGGCCCTCCAAACACACCACCCCATGTGATGTGTGTGTGACCCACCACCCCATCTCTGACCATGAGGTCACTCTGAAGTGCTGGGCCCTGGGCTTCTACCCTGCGGAGATCACCCTGACCTGGCAGCGAGATGGGGAGAACCTGACCCGGGACACGGAGCTGGTGGACACCAGGCCTGGGGGGGATGGAACCTTCCAGAAGTGGGCGGCTGTGTTGGTGACTTCTGGAGAGGAGCAGAGATACACGTGCCATGTGCAGCATGAGGGGCTGCCGGAGCCCCAAGTCGTGAGATGGGGTGAGGAGGGGGACATGGGCACAGAGGCTGCTCTTCAGGGTTCAGGGTCCTCTGGACCTTTCAGAGGGTCAGGATGAGGCCTGGGGCTCAGGGTCTCCCCTCTCCTTCCCTTCCAGAGCTCCCTCCTCAGTCCTCCATCCCCACCGTGGGTCTCATTGCTGGCCTGGTTCTCCTTGGAGCTGTGATCACTGGGGCTGCAGTGGCTGCAGCTGTGATGTGGAGGAGGAAGCGCTCAGGTCGGGAAGGGAGTTGGGGATCCTGTCTACGGGAGCTTTCAAGTCTCAGGGAGAACCTGCGCTGCCTGCTGAAGCACTATCCATACTGTTCTGCCTAGCAGAGAGATGATTGCTAATCCTCACTTTGTTGTACCTGACTTATGAAAATGAATCACTACTTGTTCACCTTATAACTCTGCTGATGGACCTCAATCCCAGCAAGTGACAGAGAGGAAGGTCCTGATGAGGACAGACCCCAGGAGGCAGTTAGTCCAGTACCCCCTCATGTCCTTTCTTTATATTTTCTGGTCCTGCCCTGTGTCTTCAGGCACAGGTTTGGAAACTTCCCTGTAGCCCAGACTAAGGGATTCATTTAGGACTTCAGGGCTCAACTACTTTGTGGTCTCACATGATGTCTTCCCCACAGAGGGACAAGGAGGAAGCTACACTCAGGCTTCAGGTAAGTGTGGATCAGGGGTTTAGTCCTTGAGCCCCTGGGACAGTGTAGATGGAGCCCCTGGGGGAGTCACCCCATCAGCCCCTCCCGTGGTCTCCTCTCTCGTGGCTCTGACCAGGTTCTGTGTTGTTCTCCCCCAGGCAGCGACGCTGCCCAGGGCCCTGATGTGTCTCTCAGCCCCTAAAGGTGAGACCCTGGGACCTGTGCGGGAGGGGCTGGGCCAGGTTATGGGAATGTTTGAGTAACACATTTTGAGGATGCATTTTAGGACACATATGTGAGTCCCTGACTTTGTTCCTGATTATTTTCCTTCACAGTGTGAGACAGCTGCCTTTGGGGGCTGAAGAGATGCAGGATTTCTCATCTTCACTTTGTGACATCGGGAACCTCTGGTTTCTCTTGCTACAAAGGCGTCTGAATGTGTCTATATTCCTATTTGCCTAATGTGAAGAGGTGGGAGACTGGCCCAGCCCTGCCCACCAGGAGTCCTCCACCCCTAACCTGTGCTCTCTCCTGATGACCATCCTGCTCTAGCAATGGCATGGCAGGGCTGATGCCGTCCCTGCCTGTACTTTGTGTTTTCCTGAAGAATATGTCTATTTTTGTATTGAAGTACTAATACAAAAGACACTTCTCCAAAGAGGAAATGCAGATGGCCAACATGCATATGAAAAAAATGTTCAACATCACTCATCATAAGGGAGATGCAAATTAAAACCACAATGAGATACCACCTCACCCCAGTGAAAATGGCACATCTTCAAACAACTAGCAACAACAAATGTTGGCGAGGATGTGGAGAAAAAGAATTCTCCTGCACTGCTGGTGGGAATGCAAACTAGTACAACCACTATGGAAAACTGTTTGGAGGTTCCTCAAACTGCTAAACATGGAGCTTCCCTGTGACCCAACAATCCCACTCCTAGGTATCTACCCAAAAGGCACATAAACACTGATTGAAAACAACACCTGTGCCCCCGTGTTTAATGCTGCTTTATTTACAATAGGAAAGACTTGAAAACAGCCCAACATGCCCAAAAGTAGATGACTGGATTAAAAAGATGTGGTACATATGCACAATGGAATATTACTCAGCAATTCAAAAAGATAAACTCATTCCTTTTGCAGCAACTTGGATGGAGCTAGAAGTGTTCATGCTTAGTGAAATAAGCCAGAAAGAAAAAGAAAAATACCAGATGTTTTCACTCATAGCGGGAGCATAGAGGACCGGAGGAGGGGAATATTGAACTATATTACAAGGACATTTTAGAATAGGATCAAAATTGGGAGGGGGGGCATTGTGCACTGGACTATGATGACGGCATGTGGGTGAATTGGTGATGGGAAGCCCATGGGGATTACAACTGAGATGGAAAAGGCACAAAATGATGTAAAAAATAAACTATTATAATAAAAGAAAAAGTCCACTTTCTCACTATCATTATTCCCAGAAAATTGCTTTTCTTTAAAACAATTCATATGCAGTGGATTATTAATATTCTAATTGAAATTAAAAACTCTTTAAAATGATTTTATTTCTTGCAAAGTAGAAATTGATAGTTACATCTGCATAAATTTATCCCTGGGGGCCTGTAGCGCCAGCAGACACTGGCGGGTTCTCTATGACCAGGCAGAGGAGTAAGGACAGTCCTGGGCCCTGGTTGGCTTTTTCAGGCTTTAATATCTTTCTCCCCATCTGCAGTGAGGAGACCAGGTGCAGGGCATTCGGGGCGCATGGGGCACAGGAGGCTGGCAGGCCTCCACCCCTGGGAATGTTTGCTCTGTCTGGGCTCTCTGGGCATCCGCCTGGTCTCTTTGCTGCTCTCCACTGCGGTGTCCAACAAAGGGGTCCTGGGCCCCCTTCCTTACATGCTCAGTCGCTGGCTCAGGGGCACCCACACAGGCCTGTCAGCACCACAGCCCAGGTGCCTCCATCAGACCGAGTGTAAGACCACAGGTGTGGCTCACAGGTGCTAATGGGGGAGGGCACAGAACCTGACGCTTCCACTCACCTACAGGATTTTGACCTTGTAAGACCGTGCGTGAAGAGATCCTGAAACGAAAATGTTCATGAATCAGTGACCCAACCCCAGGCCCTGGACAGAGGTCTGGGTGCACAAGAGAAGGGGCACAGTGCACCCCAGGTCCAGGGGTGTGGCTCTCTGGGCTTGGGCCCCAAGCTTGTGTCTGGGGGAAGGGAAGGTGACTGTGGGGCGCCTGTGGGGACGTCTGGCCTCAGGCTCTTCCCCCAGTGTTTTTCACCCCAATTTCACTTGTCCCCTCCCAACCAGTGTTGGGTCCTCCTTCCTAGATACTGGTGACTCATCCAGTTTCTCAGTCCCCATTGCCTGGGGTTTTCCAGAGCAGCCAATGAGCTTCTCAGGGGCTCTGTACAGTCCCCACCCACTCCCCAGAAGGGTCTAGGAATCTCCAGGGACTGGAGAGCTGTGGGCATGGGCCCCCCAACCCTCCTGCTGCTGCTCTCAGGGGCCTTGGCCCTGAACCAGACCTGGACAGGTGAGTGCTGGGTCAGGAGGGAAGCCATAGCACAGGAGGGAGGAGCGAGGGGCCCCTGTGGTGGTAGGGCCTGCCCAGGACCCGGACTGTTGTCCCCAGTCCGGCCAGGTCCTGTCCTGGCTGCTTTTGGTCCCTCCCAGCCTCCCATCTCCTCTTGCCCCGTGAGTTTGAGTTTGCGCCCTTTTTGCCGCCTCCCCTCCCACCCCCCGCATTAATCCCAAGAACCCCTCGCTCTCCTCCTGTCTCACCCCATTTTTCTCGGGGCCAAGGGGTCCTGAAGGGGAGGAGGGTCAACCTGGTCTCACCCCTCCCGCCCCCAGGCCCCCACTCCCTGAGGTATTTGTACACCGCGATGTCCAGCCCTGGTGGTGGGGAGCCCCACTTCACGGTCCTCGGCTACGTGGACGACTCGCAGTTCGGGCGGTTCGACAAAGACTCTCCGGGTCAGAGGATGGAGCCGCGGGCGCCCTGGGCAGGGCAGATGGAGCCTGAGTTCTGGGAGAAGCAGACGCAGGCCCTGCATAAGGATGCACCGCCTTTCCGGAAAAAACTGCTAGAACTGCGTGGCTACTACAACGGAAGCCTGGCTGGTGAGCAGCCTGGGAGCGACCCCCATCCCCATGGTCA